CGGCGGCTTTTTGTGGAAGCGTCCAGCGCTGGGGTCGGGCGGGCTGGAGCCTTTCTCGGAGCGCCCCCGGCCCGGGTTTTTTTCTGGGCGCCCAGGGGGCGGGGCCACGCCTAGCCTCTAGGAGCTTTCGCGGAATCACAGTTGTCACCCAGTGGAAAGGGCCCACAGACCCCGGTCGTTCAAGCCCTCCCATTTTGCGGTGAGGGCAACTGAGGCCCAGAGAGGAGGGTTTTCCTCGAAGTCATTCATTGGAGGCCCGGTCATAATTAAACTGGGGGGCCCAGGACTCCTGGTTCCCTGCCTGTAAGCATTTCACCAGTCCCCACCTTGTGACTGGTGCATTGGGCCCAGACCTTCTCCTGAGGGAGCCCTCAGAGGGACCCAGGGACCAAATCCGACTTGAAGTAGGAAGTACCAAGTGCTGGGGATGTGGGAATGAAGGGATAAAGTTTTAAACAGGCGGTTCCGGGGAAAGAATTTGCATTTTTGGTCCCTGGGGAAGATACAGAAATGGCTCTTGCAGGGGGCTGTGCTTGGTCAGGGCTTTTGAAGGATGGGAGTTTCCTGAAGCCAGCCAGCAGAGTACAGGGTCATCTTAGCTGCAGACGGAGGGGACTGAACTATGGGTGGGAGTGGAGGTCCAGCCATCTGTGGTACTGTGTTGGGGCTTTAGGTTTGGGGTGGGGTGTAACATGAGATGAGCTCCTTAGGGGAATTGTGCCTTGGTACTCGGACAGGGCGTGTCTTTGGAACCCCAGAGTCGCAAGGAAACTGAAAAAATCTCTCTAGCTTCCCTTTCTTCAGGACCCCTGACCCCCAAAACATTAGCCAAAACTCGGGGTCCTCTCTGAGTAGCTTTTCTCATAACAGGCTCAATCTTATTCTCAGTCTCTTCTCTTTCAGCTTCCTCCTTCATTGCTAAAATTCTTTCCTGGACACTGAGACTGGTTCTCATAAAGGTGTTAGTGACTCAGTGGTTTACCTCTCTGTGAACCCTTTAAGGAAGGCTTTAGGGGGAAGGGAGGCAAAATGGATAGGGACTTCTTTTGAAAGTGCTAACTCTCACCCTTAACCCCTTCACTCTAACTGACAGGGAAACAAAGAGGTCTAATGAAGGTAGGTGACAGCCTTAGAGCCTACAGCAAATAATGGTTTGCAGAGCTAGGGGTACGGAACGTCCAGTAGTGAGGGTTCTCTCTTCCCCATCAAGATCTTCTTCCTTGCAAGGTTTTTGCCAGCATCAAGGGCAGTCACAGAGATTGTGTATCCTGCATTTAATCTTTGCAAGGTAGCCCCAACTCCAACGCCAATGCCTTTCTGGGTGGGATTAGCTCTGCGATGATGGGGGGGATGGGCACAGTGATCAGGTAGCCCCCTGGGGTCAGGCTCCCTGAAAGCAGTGGGAGCCTATTGGGTTGGCTTTGGGGGTAGGCCGGACTGAGGCAGACCCTTCATGGAGTGACCATCATAGTGGAGAAACGATCTCTAGGAGGCAGGGAGACATTTCCAGGTGGTGAAAGGTAGGAGGTGAGACCTGATCATGAAGCACTTCAGGAATTCCAGGCTATGGAATTTGGTTGTAATTTAAAATTATCATTTTGAGGGTTCTGAACAGGCTGGGGCCTGATTGAGAGGCAAGTGTTGGCTTTGGGAAGCTCCTGGTTGCCCAATTCCAGTGAGAGGTGGTGATTTGGCCCAGGAATGTTATCAATGGGTGTCTGTTCATTTACTTGACACATGTTGCTGAGTGTTATGCATCACTGGCAAATATGAAAATTTTACAGCAGGTTCATGTTTTTGTGGAGATGAAGAGATTGTATTAAATCTGCTCTAAAACACTTTTTCATATCACTGAAATCCGGTTGTCTTATAATAACAGATGTGTCACACTTGAACAGTTTTTTTTTTTCATTCTAAATTGGTAATGACACATCTTGTAGTCAGTGGTTTAAATTTGATAGAAAATTGTTAATCGTGTCCTTTATGAATGTGCTATAGTACTTTATAAACCACTTTTCCATCACATATTCCATTTGAATCTCAGATATGCGTTGAGCATTGGGCCTGGTGACACTGCTGTCTCCATTTTAACCCTTGCCCAAGGTTACATAGTTCATTACGGCTGTGCTCAAGATTACAAACCCAACTTTGAAGCCTGGTGGTAACATGTGGCTTTACCAACTATATAACTGGTGTGGCTTGGTTGGGAAGGGGAGGAATTAGACTGGATTTGCTTTCAGAACGATGGCTGTAGGTGTCAGAATCATGAGAGGTTTTGGCCAAGGATAGTACAGCTTGTGGAAGTCCTTTTATGCCAGAAATGTGTGCTGCTTCAAATAGAAAAAAGATTAGACAGAAACTGGAAGGCAAAACCAGAGGTTGGAGATGCAGCCATTTTACATAGAAAGAAGCAGTGCGCAGAGCGCACATATCCTTGAGCCTGCCTGGGTAGGCCCTTAGGAGTGCAGAGATAAGGAGTTCCTTGTGTTCGGAGCTCTCAGGGGTGTGTGCATGTGTGTGGAGGGCAGCTGCTGCTCTGCAGGTGGTCAGCCTCAGGGAAGCCAATGGAGGCTGTGTGCTGTGAGAACTGAATCTCTGGGACTAGGTAGGGGTTGGGCCAGTTCTAGAACAGGTGAGAGAAGACCTGCCAATCACAGTAGTGGCATATGCAAATACTGGGAGGAAGGTCATTGATTCTCCAGGCTGGTCCCCCATGCACTAGGCTCCACCCTCAGCCCTTTGTATTTATTTTTTTTTACTTTCAGCCAGGACCTCACTAAGTTATACAGACTGTTTTTGAACTTGCAGTCCCTCAGCCTCAGCCTCCTGAGTAACTGAGGAGCTAGGATGACAGCTGTGTGCCTCTGTACGAAGCCAGGCACTGTTGTGAATTGCCAGCATGAAGAGGGCTGCGGGGAAGTGGAGAGAGAGGAGGACATCTTTTGTTTTTTGTTTTTTTTCCCCCTAAGTAAGGTTTAAAGGACCTTTTTTTTCTTATTGAGTTTATTGGTAATTTTTAGGTATATAGTACAGTTACATTTTTTTAACTGGTTCTTCAGAGACTCATGCTGCAGGAGAGCAAGGCTGGGCAGAGGCTCTGGAACCGTTGCTGTGGGATTCAGTATTTGGTGGTAATGTAGGAGGCACAGTAACACTTAGTAACCAGAACAGTGAAATCTGGTACTTTGACCCAGGGCAGTAATTGAGCCCTCACAGCTGAGTAGGTGCATTGCTGGGTGGGGACTTTTCCTGGAATATGGCTTTGGAATGCTACACTTTGCTAAAAGAAATTTGCTAGAAGAAACTTGCTGAAGGTGAGGAAGAGGGGGATGGAATGCTGCTACTTTTTGTGTATGGGAAGCTAGGATCTGGGTGGAAATCCAATGGCGTGATGGTACATGTGAGACTCCTCACGAGGGGAAGAAAGGGCAGAAGGAAGGCATGAAAGTGTGTTGGGGGAGTGTCTGGAGCTGCCCGGAGGCATGGAGGAAGTGGCTAGACTCCTAATTTGGGCCACAGAAACAAGATGATAGTAGGCTCCTGGCTAAGGGTCCATGGCATTAATGTTTGGAAGCCAGCAAACCGTAAAGTCGAGGCTGGAAAATGTTTATTTCCCTCTCATTTTTTCTTTACTAATACAATTTTAAACATTTCTGACTGGGTAGCAAATGCTTCTGTGATTGCCATACTGATTCATGAAAGTGGGTTTTATGACTGTTATGGTGTGGATGTGGTTTGACCAACAGTGGTCCTTGTGTGGAAGGCTTGGTCCCATGTGCTGATAGGGTGTGAGACAGAAGGTGGAAGCCAGCAGGTGGTCCTTAGGTCTTGAAGGCCTGAAACAAGGAAGGAGTTCAGGAAGCTTCCGGGAATCCCGAGTTACTGCCTGAGTCATTCTTTGACTTCCTGTCTGGGGTGATCTCTCTCATTACCATTGTGTTCCTGCCATTTTGGGCCCTTCACCAGGGCTAAGCTGATGCTCATACTAAGCCCTTGAACCAACAGAATTGTGAGCTACATAAAGCTCCTTTCTTTACGAAATTCCCTAGCTTCAGTTATTAAGTTATAGTGCAATATGGACTGAAATCATGATTGTTAGCCTCATTGTGCAGGTGAGAAAAATGAGTTTGCTGAAATAAAGTTGCACAACTGAGTGACATGGCTGAGTTTGAGCTCTTGCCCAATCGTTAGCTTCTTTACTCTTTCCAATGGCCACGAGCAGGAAAAATTCAAACCAGTATTGTGCTTTAGCATTGTTCTTACATTCATTGGGACTTGGTGGGGTCACAGTTGGTGATTTACCTTGGTGAGCGGGCTTCTCAGTTCTACACCTGTGCTTTTCCAGCTCCTCTTTTTGGATTCTTCCACTCCCACTTCCTTTTACCTTTGGGTGTCTTCTCTCTCTAAACTAAATCATTCATTCTAAATTATTCATTCTTGGAGAGGACCTGACCTCTCTGCAAATCTTCAGTCCCTCTTCATAATGTGTTGTGGCTTCTGTTTAGAAGTCTCCCCAGTGCCGTGGTGCAGTCACAGATGGGGCTTTTTTCTGGAATGATTCATGGTGCATAACTGGGCTTCAGGGTGCTAGGATTAAGGATGTGACTGGTATGTGCCCTAAGTAGCCTGCCTAAGATAAAAGGGGCAGAAAGACTCTGTTGAGGGCTTGACTCTTGCAGTTCTGTTGCTTTTGCTACCTTGTGGGTGCCTCTGCTCCCATTTCTTTTGTTGCTTTTGCTGCTTTTACCACCGTGAACTGTTGCCCCTCCTGCCATCTAGCTTCGGATCTAGCCGATTATGGACTGAAACCTCTACAAACTGTGAGCCAAATAAATCTCTCCCCCTTTAACTTTGGGTGTCAGGTATTTTAAGCAAGGACAGAAAGTAACTAACACACACTACCTCCTTCCCCAGTCCCTTGTTGGGGCAATAAAATAAAGGAATAGAAATCATGATCTCAGTCATTACCTTTGGTCTTTCAGCTCCTGCTCCTGCAGCAGTAGTAAGTGTACTCTGGAGCTGACTCAGACCCCTGTGGCTGGATCCTGCCCTCCTCTGAGTTATCTTGATCCTTTCCTCTGAGCAGCTTTCTGGCTCTGAACTCAGGGGTCATTTACAGTCCTTCCTGTCACCTGCCTGCCTCAGGTGGGTCATTTGCATTTTGAGGACTCACAGATAATGGCATGAGTGAGCTCCTTATTCTCTGGGCAGAGGAGACAGACCCCAGGAGTGGTACCTGGCAAAATGAATAAAACCTTGATTTTCTTGGAACACTTCACATCTCTGGTGCCCTGAAGATGTTTATTAGCTATTTGTTAAGCGAATGATCAGTGTTTATTGACATAAGCAGGAATTAACACTCCACCCAACATATTTGCTTCTCTAAGTCCCCTAAATTTATCTTCTAAAATAGTTATTTATTTATTTATTTATTTATTGAGATGGTGTCTTTACCTAGACTGGCCTCGCATTTGCTATCTTCCTGCTTCCGCCTCCTGAATAGCTAGGAAGACAGGCATGCATCACCAGTGTGGTGCCTGGTCTCCCTTCTACTTTAAAGTAAACTCCCTGAGGATTACAAAGATGTTTGCCTCCTTCGTGGTCCTCTTCTGAGTGCCCAGAAGCGTGCCTGACACATGGTAGGCACCCTGCAAATATTCACTGTGTGAAGATGGGGCAGGACATAGTTTCCTGCACCCACAGGACAGTAGTCTTGGGGGAAAGGGGCCGTTTTGACTTCCAGAACCTTAGGCCTGTAGACACCCAGGATTGGGTTGAGAATTGCTGGTGCTGTAGGTGCCAAGGTGACACTGGACAGAACCATCAGCCTCCTGAAGCTTATCACCAGGTAGCTGGGTTGTCCTTGAACAGCCTCTAGTCCGTATCTTTACTTTCGCTGTTTCCTCAACCTGGAGTTCCCAGCCTCTCTATCTCTGCCTGCTGTAAACTTATACTCCTTAATAGCAAGGTCAAGATCTGTCATGGACTGTGAACCATTTTCCAGACTTTTTGCCCTGTCTGCATATATGTGTGACCACATGCAACTCAGTCTCTTGCCTTGCAGTCAGTATGTGTGTACAGAAATGCTGGCTACTGGCTTACAAGCCAAACTAAGAGAGGCTGCCTTCAAGGATCTTTACTCCAGCACGGGAGAGAGTCTGGAGGCGAATGTGCTAAGGCCTTTGTGAATGGGTCGTCAGAAAAGAGTGACCACAACCTGGATGAGCTGGTGAGTACCTGTGGAGAAGAAGATATTTGGGTTGGGTTGGAGGAGTGAGTGGCAGTTCTCATGTAGACATAGGTAGAAGACCTTTTCAGGCAGAGAGACCCTGATGCACATACACAAGCCAGAACATAAAAGTGTGTTTGGAGATTACTGTGAGAGATGCTGGTAGCTTGAGCTAAAGACTGGCAGCAGGGTGGAGGGAGAGGCTTTCGTTATTGTTTGAGCAAAGGAGGGCCTTGTGGTCCTGTGTTTTAGAGAGCTCTGGTGGCAGAGTGATAGGAGGTTAGGATCAGAGGCAGGGACCCCGATGAAGAGGCTCCTGTAATGTCCTGGGATGGGGAGATGAGCTGTGTCACAGGAGTAGGGTCAGGAGAGGGACAAACAGATCTCAGGAGCTGTTTGCTGTTGGAATCATGTGGAGTAGCTTGGTTCCTGCTATTCGAATTATCGGCTACCTTGTCAGTCTTGCCTGGGAGAAATGGTCTTATGGACAGCAAAGCGTGCCATCAGTAGAAGATCCAAGCTGGAGGCCAGTCCCAGCCTTACAAGTGCAGGTTAGGGCCTCGGTAGGCAGAGGGACCTGGCCCCTTATGGTATAGATGAGGAAACTGAGGTCCTGAGAAAGGGACAGACTTGTTCAGTCCCACCCAACCCTCATTTCCAGGCAATTTGTCTTTCCGAGGTGTTTTTCATTCTCAGCCTCTGCTGTATGGGATACATTTCCTCCTCCCAGACCCAGGGGGGATTTGCTCTGGACAGTTTGGGGACAACTAGATAAAACGTGGAGATCATTGTGTCTCAGGTTTGACCTTTTCACTTTGTACTTTAAAAACAGTGTGATTAAGATGGTTCAGTTTGTGCATTGTGTGTATGTGTGTGTGTGTGTGTGTGCGCGTGTGTGTGGTTTGGGGATTTTATTTGTGTTACTGCCATCAAGACCTGCCACTTGTTTGCCAGAACCCAGCTGCTGGATCTATGCTAGCTGCAAGGTTTCTTCTTTGTAACAGCTCTCTTCTCCTACTCCTACTCTTCTCTTTTTATATTTAATTATTTTTGCTCACCGAAAAGTTTGTTAAATCAGTGGTCTTAGATACATTACAAGGCAGAGCCTCTTGTCTTCTCCTTACCTCTAAACCTGCTTATCACAATTCATCTAATAGAACCCATTAGTATTTCATAGCCTCTGTAGCATTTTTTATGTTGGCAAATATATTTTACCATCATTTTTATTACTTGATTCCCAATTGCATTCAAGGGGTGGGTAGGTAAGAGCGGTCTTGTCTCAGAGAGAGGGTGGACAGGGGTTTGAGCAGGGAGAGAATTGGACTCTTATGGCCCAAATGCTTGTCTTGCTCTTTCAGTTTTGCAAGTGAGAAGATATTGATGTGAACGTCTGCAGCAAGCCCTATACTCAGGCAAGGAATTTACTATTTCTCTAGTGCTAGTGAGGTAGCATTGGCTGCCTGTGTCCAAGGCTTTGAAGGCAAGGCTGAGACTCAGTGTGTGACTGAAGGTTTGGGCTTCACTGTGCTGTTATGTTGGCAGTGCTGTGATCGGTGGTTTTAGGTGCAGGGAAAACGAAGACCCTGTGATCTTATGTAAAGCCCTGTGAGCTCATGTGAGTTCCGGAATGTGCTTGAGCCTCAGTTACCTTGAAACAGATATCCTGTGACACATCACAGTGCACTTCGAAAACCAGATAAATTCTGGTGACCAGGCCTTATCAACAGTAATACAGCTGGGCGTGGTAGACGCACTCCTGTAATCCCAGCACTCAGGAGGCTGAGGTAGGAGGATCGCTGTGAGTTCGAGACCATCCTGCGCTAGATAGTGAGTTCCAGGGCAGTCTCAACTACATAGTGAGACCCTGTCTCAAAATAACAACAACAACAACAAAACAAAATAGTAATACAAAACGTTCACGTGACCAGGTGGTATGCAAAGGTGGCCAAGTCTGGATACCTAGCACTGACTGCACCGTATCTGCCATGCCGTCGGTGACACCCTTCCCTGCTGCTGGGGGCCAAGGGGTTTAGAGCTGGACAACTCCAAGTTTACAACCTAGCTGTGCTGTTTAATAGAGGAGGC